CTGTGGGGTTCATATTTAGGGTCCTATAAGGTAACCCCCAAAAGGAACTACTATGGAGCCGATGGGTTGCAGGCTGTTGTCGGAGGAGTAGCCGAGAGACTTGACCATCGCAGGCGTAAGACATGAAAGTCCTTTTGCAGGTGATGCGGAAAAGGGGTAGGTAGCAGAAGCCCTGTATAGTCCATAATCGTATGAGGTTACCCTTTTTGTTCCCCTTACAAGAGTGAACAAGTGGAGCTTGTTGCCGCAATTTTTGCAAAGGACCTGTTGCTCTCACTATGGCACTATGGTTCTCGTCATGAGTGGTAAGTAGAGACGGCAGTGATATTAGTAGCAGTAGTAGTACCAGTACTAGAAGAAGTAGTAGTAGTCGTAGTCGTGGTGGTAGCCGGAGCGGCTGTGGCAGCATTAGCAGTGTAGCGGTAGCAGTGTAGCAGTAGCAGTAGCAGTAGCAGTAGCAGCAGCAGCAGCAGCAGTAGCAGTGGCAGTAGTCAGTAGTCGTAATTGTTGTTGTCATCGTCGTCGTGGCTGTCGTCGTATTGGTAGTGGTGTTGGTAGTGGGAGTGATCGGGGTGGTGCTGGTGGTGGCGGTGGTAGCAGTAGTAGCAGTAGTGGTAGTGGTATGAGCTGGAGCAGGAGCAGCAACAACAGTGGAAGTCAAGTATGCCTTTGGGTTCCCGAGTCTCCTCAGAATATTCCTCATTCTGACTAGAAAGGTTGGTGCATCAGGATTCTGGGTTTAGGGTGGAGGTGTAGGGTTTGGGGTACGGCAGTTACGATTAAGCACTGGGGGCTCTTAGAGTCTTAGGGTAAGCACATGGCTCATAGAAGTAGTTCATACCCGCATGATTAATTGAAGGGTTGCCAAGCCTTTCCAACGAAAAGTTCTTGGAGTTGTATGTAAACCCCTGCTCCCAGAGCCCCTCATATATCAAATTATATCCGACTACTAAGCCCCTAAAACCCGAAACCCGACGCCCCACTACAGAGTCAGGAACCACTCCAAAAGATCCCTTAATTAAGGAGTAAACCCCTTGAATCATATGAGGGATCCTATTATAATTTAAGCTACATTCCGTCATATTCCTTAATTAGGGGATAATGGGGATCCTATTATAATTTAAGCTACATTCCGTAATATTCCCTAATTAGGGGATAATGCGGATCCTAATATAATTTAAGCTACATTCCATAATATTCCTTAATTAGGGGATATTGGAGTCTCTGGGAACCCCTATTGATGGCAGGCGCCTCCTGCTACCAACGGCAGCAGCAATGGAGGCGCTAAACGGATTTGGTGGGTTGAATTATGTGCCATATGATGCCTAGGGCCCAGGGACTATGGGGGTTTATGAGGATTTCGGTGGAAGGGATATGCCGCAAGACGTACGTAATGCCGACAAAAGACGTGCGAGCTGCGCTGTGTCGGCCCTTCAACTGTGTGCAAAGTTGTTCGGCTGCGGCTGAAGACCACACCTCCTACAGAACTCCTGCCACCCTAGCTTATCTGTATAGAAGCTTAGCTAAGTTGTAATGTTATTCCCTTCAGGCCCTCCAAATGATGCTCCAATATCACCAAAACCCTATTCTAAGATCAAGGCCTCTATGTTAGGCTTGCTCAGGGTTTGGACATTGCCCTAAATCCGACACCCTAAACCCTAAAGCGCAGTTTCGAGCTTTTGAAGGGGCTCCTTGCTTCCCTTTATATGGCAGGGAAGCATTCCTCAGAAATGTGCCCTGCTTCGTGGGTTTGGTGTTTGGTGTTTAGGGTTCAGGGTTTAGAGCTTAGGGTTGTCTTTAAATTGAACCTACCTTAACCCTGAAGAACCTACCTTCTTTAAGGACTTGTATAAGGAAATCATAATAGAACCCTAAAAGGTAGGTTGTTCAGGGTTAAGGTATAACCCAAAACCCCAACAGCAGGCAGGTCCAACGCCAAAAGATGCAAGAAAAGTCTTGGCAGGTTCGCATCCTCCCGCCCCAAAGGAAGAGAAGGTGGGCTGTCTTTGCTGCGATGATATGGGGGTTTCCGAAAATAGGGGATCCCAATATAGTACCCTAAATAATACCAGGATCCTTATTATGAGGACCCCAAAATAAGTTACCCCTAATTTTCGGAAATTCCCATATGGGCAGATTCGGAGTGCTTGCTAAAGCACTACAAAGGAAGAAAAGTGGGCTGTCAGTGCCGAGATTCTGCGGTTTGGTTCAGGAGTGGGCCTAGATATGTATGGGATTTAGATGTCGCTGCTTCTTTTCGTGAACTGTGACGGTGAAGTTTGCCAGAAGTTGCTGCGGAGGTGGGGGCGCTGAGCGCGGTTACGCGTCGATGCATGCAGCAAGCAAAGACCTAGGCAATCCTCTGGCTCCCTCACTGACATGGTCCTTGCCCGTATCGCAAAATCCTACAAACCATAGCATACGTAAAGGGTCATACCCTACCCCTTTTTTAAGGTACCTACTTTTCTATACCATAAACACTAGGTATCCTAAAAGAGGGGTAGGGTATGACCCTCTAGGTACATGACGGAAATAAGTAGTTAGGCTATTGCAGAGAGGATGCCCTGGTTAGCACACTCTCGCGACCTCCTCAAAAAAAGCTGCTGTAGGAACCTGATAAAGAAACCCTGGGCCTTTAACCCCAAAATCGTGGGATTCAAGGTTTCTTATCAGGTTCCTTCAGGGTTTATGGTTTGAGGCTTTGAGGTTCGGCGCTTTATGTTTAGGGCTCCGCACGAAGCACGGAAGGCAAGTTGCGGAACGCAAAGCTTTCGTAAAGTTTTGTGCGGTTTGCGAAAAGCTTGTGGTCGGGTCCTCCGCGACCTGAGCTAGGGTTTAGGGGTTTAGGGTTAAGGGTTCTCCAAGACCTGAACTAATTAGGTATCGAATTTGCGTTATTTTGACATTCCGTTCTTGCTTAATATAGAGTCCTGATTGTAAACATTTTTGGGGACTGTTGAAATCGACACCTAGTCAAAGTAAGAAGTATTACGTGTTCAGTTCTTTGATTGTACTGTCTACTGTGCATTACTACGTATGTTGTTGTACTTATACACAGATCCAGATATCTATATGTTTACATACCTTTCATAATCTTTGCAGCATTCTCAGTTGCAGGCTGCAGCACAGGCACCACCGCCCTCTGCCCCACCAGCCAAAAAATCGTCCGATGGGCAGGCCGCCGGAGGTTTCAATAAGGTTTAGGGATGTTTAGGGTTTAGGGGTTTAGGGTTTCTTGTTTGATTTTCCCCCTCGGGTCACAGAACAGTTAATTGAGGTGTTATGTACATTGTTTTTGGAGCTATGGTGTGGCTAGTTTACATGGTGTGGGGTTACCTCCGTGGCGCAGGAATTCCTTGTAACTGCGATGCGAAGTCCCAGGAACCCTTGTGGGAAGCTCCGCTTAACTGTGCAACAACGACTTCAACGCAAGCTTTAAGTCCGACACCCGAAGCTCTTGTTCTCTTTTGGGAATTAGGTCCAGTTTAGGGGTTTGGGGCTCGAGTGTTGCCTGTGCGAGCCGGGAGCAGAGAGAGATTGGGATGGGGGGTTCAAGGTTGGTCTGCATGGGTGAATTGATCCTTTCGGGGCTGGGTAGGTTTCAGATGCGGAAGCTGGGCAGCGGCTGTGCTCCTTCAATTCCGCACTGCTCCTTTGCTCACGCAAGACGAATGTATTCAGTTTCGCACTGCGTCTGGGACACGTAGACCCTAAACCTTGAACCCTAAGAAGTGTTGTGCTTGGGATTGCTTAGGGTCTGGGGTTTGCGGGGCACAGATGAAGCTCGTCTCTACAAGGATAGTCTATCGGAGAGTCATGCCCGCAGGCATTTGGGCAAGCCCTCCAAAACCCAAAACAAGGGACCTGACAACTAGAGTAGGGTTTTGGCCGGACATCAAAATTAGTTCTATCATAGGCAATACACATCATACCGCTTTTTGCGTTAATCCGGGCTTCTACACGAAGCCCTACTTGCCTTCCTCTGTGGGTTCGGATCTATGGGGTTCCTCGCACTCGTCCAGGTGAAAGCGAAGAAGGCAGCCGCCGATGCCAGGCAATTCCTCATCCACTCTAAAACCCGAAACTCTAAACACTGAAAAGTAGGCAAAATAATGGCCCTTTAAATTTCAAATGCTTTCATTATACATATTTGGGGCGTCCAGGTAAACCTTACAATCTACACTCTACAGGATGTTGCGAGGTTGTGGTTCATATGGCTTGGGGCTTCTCGGTATCTGTGGTTCCTATGCGTTTCTGGCAAGTCTTGCAAGATTGATTATGTAGATAGGCTTGTTTTATTGAGACAGACAGCTACAGAGCTTCAAAGCACTGTCGTACACTCGCACTGCCTTTACGAGGCACTGTGCGGAAAAGTCTCGCTGAAACGACGACCTTAAACAAACCACTACACGCTCCCTCACTCAAGTGTTTGAACCGAGTTTCAGCGATCACTGAACGCATAGTTCTGTCGGTCTAGAGGGGTTTGGTACGTTGTTTAGGGTTTAGGGTTTAGGGTGGGCAAAGGCAGCTGTGCTCTTGTAGACTGTATACCAGCAAGGATTGTTCTCAACAGGGTTCGGGCAAACAGCCACGTCCTGAGAAGAGTTTCGGGACTATACAGGATTACCCCAAGGCTCCATAGTAGTTCCTTTTTGGGGCTTCATATAAAGAATCCTATAAGGTAATCCCAAAAAAGGAACTACTATGGAGCCTCTGGGTAAAGAATCGGAGCTTTGGGCTTAAAGTAGGAGTTGGCGAACGGATGGGCGTTTAGGTAAACGCATCTGGGAGTTTCCGAAATAGGGGACCCTAATATAGTACCCGAATTAGCAGGATCCTGATTATAAGGATCCCAAAACCAGGTACCCCCAATTTTCGGAAACTCCAACTCTCAACCCTAAACCCTTTGTAGAACCCTTGTAGATCCCTTTAAGGAACCCTGAAAGGACCCCCAAAATAAGGCATCCCTAATTTTCGGAACCTCCCATCTAGCCGCGGAGGCCTGCCACTGCAACTGAGCTCCCCGGCGCTTCTGCTCTTGCACTCAGCTGGCCTGGTTGTCCTACTGCTGATGGACAAAATCCTGCATCACCCATGATAAGGAATATACCATAGTTCCCATAGTTTAGAGTCCTTAGGGTCATGCAGGATTTTGTCCATCAGCAGTAGTTTCTGTGTACATGGAACGGCTAAGAGATGGCAAGCTCAGATGTCGTGTCTTCGTGTGGTCACATCCAAGCAACATTTGACTTGGCCTTTCGCAGAACTACAAGGTTGTTTCATTATGCTAGCACGGTGGTGATACTTCCTTGCAGAATTAGTTAGGTACGGTATTTGGGTTGTCCTTTGTGCCATTCTTCTACACCGTTTGCAATTTCGGTTTGTATAGCCATAGGCAGCCGGGTAGGGGGGTGCACCATGAAGCACCTCCGCGGTTGCTCGGCTTGAGTACACGAGGTCGTCTTTAGAGTGCACATATATAGCTGTAGGCCTCCGCTGCAGACTATTGTGTTTGGCGGCCACAGTAAGTTCAAGGGTTTCGCTATGCATGCCCGCTCCCCCGTCGTGCCTCCAAGATAACATGGTGCTCGCTCGCCCGGCTTTTTTGGAACCCCGTCGCACCGTGTTCACACAGCTCAGCACTCAAGAATGCACATGCGAATCTCAGCTTCACTGGTTTGGACTGCTGTTAGCTAGACTTACTCGAAAATCACATGTGATCCCTGGTTCTCCGCCGTTTGGCGGCTCCCCCTTGGGCCGTGGCCTTTGTAAGCCATGTCCAGACTATAAAGTAAGCCTGTGCACGGCTCCGCTTCGAAGCGGAGATACTCTTCAGAGTGCTTTTCCTTCTGTCCAAAACATCTGGATCTAACTCCGGGTTGAAAGAAGCTGCAGTTGATGACCTTGGCTCAGGGAATCCGATATATATTGTTCTGATTCTGCGAACCTGTTCTTGAAAGACGAAAACCAATGAACAAGAATGCTGTGTTGATCTAGTTGCTTGCCCTCAAAGCAGCCATTGTTCAAAAGCCTCCCCTGGAAGTGGGGCAAAGTCGAATCGCAATGAACTGTTTGATGCATTGAGCAACCATCCGGGATAGGCATCTCCGCCACCTGCCGGTCCGGCAGCGAAGCTGTCGAACACGACAAAAAAGCTCGCGATGCTCGATTGGCATCTTCCGGGATGCCAGATCGCTGCTCCTCCTTCTCCACAGCATCCTGCAGGGGGCTGTTTATAGTTCATCTAAACTATGTGTGCAACGAATGCCGCGACCCGAAAGAAAACTCGATTACGTGATGGGTGGTGCCCCTGTCGTCTGCTCCTGCTGCTCCTCTTCCTCGTCGAGTCTGCTCAAGAGCTCTTTGCAGGCGGCTGTAGCAGGATCATCATGGAGCTCCTCCCAGTCGATGTCACCCTGAGGAGCTGTATTTCTGAGGCCAGTCAAAATCCGAAGCCTTCAACTATACTTATTATTTGGAAAAAGGTTGTGCCTCAGGCAGCTGCTGCTCCTCTTCCACATCTTTCTTTCTTTTCTTGGCCTCTTGTTCGTCCATCCTCGCGAGCACCCTGTCAATCTGCGGCTGGCCGCATTGCTGCTTTACAGCCTCCAGAGCCAGCAGCCGCCTGATCTTCTGATTCTTCGTGCTGTTCTTCGGCATCTGAACATCGCTCTTCAGCAGCAGCTCGCTCAGCGAAGCGGATGTTGTCTGAAGGATCTGCTGGCTTTGCACCAAAAAGCACAACAAGCTGTACTCCTGGAACCCCCTCCGGAACAGGAGGCATGACCCGCATTTGTCCTCCAATGGCTGCCCGCAAACATGCAAGCTGTAGCCATACAAGAAGACCTTGAATCGACAAGCAGGCGTTGAAACGAACGAGCGAGCCCTTCCTTCGGAAAAAAGGCTGTTTCATGCCAAGAAGCTTCGTCATACTCAAAGCGGAGCTGCTGGATCAATTCCCTGCAACAGCCACTGAAAAAGGACTCCGAATCTCTATCGCTCAAACTATGCAAACATTGGCCCTGCGTGTCCCCCACTCGCCTGCCAACATCCAAGCAGAGGGCGGGAGTTGTCAGCCCTTCCAACAAAGGGTCCCACCAAGGCTCTTGAAGTCTGCACGGAACTCGCGTCTCGTCGGATTTCTGCTCGGGCAGGGCACCCGAAAACTTGTACGGGAGCTCCTTCAAGCGGACAGCCTCAGGTGATGGTGTTGCACGAGGGTTTAGCACACATCATGTCTTCAAACATGCGACAAGCGTAATAATTGATCTTGGCAACATACAAGACTGCCGGCGTCTTGCCCGTGCAGATGTAAAAGTCCCTCTTCCACTCGAACATCATTCCCGCTGCGAAGCACCCTTGCACCCAAAACTCCGATGCAGCGTGTGCGGGGTCCTTGCCCTGCCTCGGATTCGCTGAATATTGAAAACAAGCTTCTACACAGATCAGGCAACCAAAACCGGCCAGTGTATGCGTGCAACTGTGGTGCTCGTGGGCCTTCAGGGGACCCTGCATCGTGTTCAGGCAGTGGTGGTTGTGGAAGAAAGCAGAGGTGCTGGGGAAGTTCTTCAGAATGTTGTCTGCCGTAACATTCTTGCCTGAGAACTGAAGCTGAATGACTTTCGATTTCACAAGAACAGAATTTCAAACGTGGCCGGTTGATGCAGGCAAGAAACAAGTCGGAGCCGAAGTCGGCGAAAACGCCTTTGGCTTGATCCCCGCCGCCTGAGGTCCAGTCCAATCCTCCTTGTCAAGCTCCAAAGCTTTCGGGCTGCCCTCATGCTTGCATACTCGTCGAAGCAAGCTTCGCACTCCCACGGCATTCAGGTTTGCCAAGGATCCACAGTCGGAGCGGCCGCTTTGCTTGACAGCATGACTCATCTCGCCGAACATGCTTTCCAAGCAGGCACTTTGGCAGAAAGCCGGGTTCCAAGCCGATACCATTTGCTTGCATTCGCCTGTCATGACATAGTTGTGCTTTTCCAAGCATGCCATCACCTCCCGGTAGTGCTGGTATCGCGTGTGGTGGCAGCTCGCTGTCAAAATGACAGCGGATGCCGGCTTGCTCTCCATCGACAGCACAACTTCCCACTCTGCCTTCATTCTCTCGAGAATGCATTGCTTCGTCTTGCCATCGTCTGCCTCTTCTGCAGAAACGAGAGCCGCTGCACAGTGCGGGCTGCTGCGTAGGTACAAAGTGTACTGCATCATCTCGTGCACTGTCGACAAGTAGAGCCCCAAACCTTCCCTCAGGATGTTTTCGTAAGTTGCACATCTTCGAAACTTCAGTCGGAGGACCTGAAAGGATGCACAGAAGAACCCAACAATATGTAATCACCCCACCATACCGGATGTTGTCGCGATGCTGTATTACACTATGGGTTTTGTTTTCGGGGCTTGGGGCTGTAATGCTTCAGAGGGCTACTCGAATCGTGGAATGAAGCCGCTCTCGTCCTTCGTTTCAATAACATTGGGCTCTAGAGTCACCAAGCGTCTGGGTTGCACCGGTGCAGCCGGTTCTAATCTAAAGAGCTCAGACCAAACCTTTTCATAATATGATTAACTATTAACTGTTCAAATGGATAACGAGTAGTATCTGAAGCTTTCGCATCAGATCAGAAGTGACTAATGGCGGTTCTCAGAGTAGATCAGACTAGATTTGGTCCAAGCGAGCCTGCGATGCATCGGGGGGCAGCACGTCTGGAAGCATTGCCAGACTTCTGCTGCTCAAGGCCGAGGTGGCCAAATCACTGAGCTTCATCTGTAAGCTGGGGCTGTTCATCTGCAACGTGAGGTCGCGGTGGGCATTCATAGTGTTGGTTTTTTCTTGCTTAGTTGCCGGCAGCAGATGCATCTCTCTAATTCAGGAGTTGTGGCGTCTACAGTACATGTCGTCGCGAGATAGGAGCTACCAGGCTGCAGGCGAGGAACCAATTCCAAACACAGCTCCCTGAAGGGCTCCAGCACATTGCGGGCCACACGGAAGATCCCGAAGCTCTCCTCATTCGTCAGAGCCTGGATTTTCGGGCTTGGGTGTTTGGACTAATTATTCGATTTCGGAGCAGAATGGCACTGAAGCAGGAAGGCCTTCACACACAGGTCGACGGTTTTGTCGAAGGACTTTTGGTTCTGCGGGGCGGAGGCTTCATTCTCCAAGATCTTGAAAGGGTTCTTGCCAACCTTGCGGGATCAAGTCATTTTGCTGCATCAGGATTATTTCAGACTCAGAGCAAGTAGATATGATATGATGGGGTTAGGGCCAAACCCGGGGCCTCCATAGCCGACCATAGGATGAGGAGCAAGCTCGCACTCATCTGAAATCGTTTGGAGGTGTGGGCCCAGGAGCACCATCTCGACCACGAGAATGTCTCGCCTTCAAACCTTGCAGCAAAAACTTAATCTAGCAGTCGTCGCACGACAACCAATGTACATTCTGTGCAACCAAAAGATTTGCAAGTTTTCCCGAGGATGTCCATCACCCGCGTGAAGTTCAGCTGGCTGTCCGAGGTCTCCTCCATATTGTTCCTGGGCCGGCAATATTAATACGTTTGACATTCAAAGTCAAGGCAACTGACTTATTAGTGCAGCGATAAAGACAGTCAAGCATCTCTTTCAGTATGTCCCGTTGGAACATGTCCATGAGCACGTCGTCGGGCTTGGCCTTTGTTAGTGTTGGGGTGCAAAATATAGCCAAAAATTAAAATCACAATCACAGCACTCTGCTGCACTGCTGCTGCGAAGTTGCAACTTCAAGATACCTCGTTCCAGCCTCGGCGAGGGTGGATCCAAAGCCGGAGGTATTCCAAGGCGATTTCCTGGCCCTGAAGAGCCAGCCACACAAAGTTGTCATTCCTGAAACCAGGATGTTGGCTGTCTTCGCAAGCATAATCAAAACAACGATCCTGTGTAAACTTGCAGCCAAAGCTCGCTTCACTGCCGGAGAACAGGAGGTCACTCTGCCCTGGTGTGCGTTCAGCTTGTGCCTAAGTTCGGGTTGGCATTACTTGATTGAAATGATCGTTGCGGTCCTCACT